CCAACACACATGCTTATAAAAAAAAAAAAAAAAGATGAAAAGCTGCTTACCCTGTTGCTAAGGACCTTTTGGACAGGCTCAGAATCATCAAACACAACGAAACCAAAATTGGGTAATTTCCCACCGCTGTTAATGCGCAGTTCCACCACATTCCCATAATCTGCAAGTGAAATACAAATTCTCAAATAACTTATTAGGACATTTCATTTAAATATTACACGCACACTATCCAATACGACATGGCTACAGAGTATTTGAAATGTGGCTAGTTCAAAACAAGACATGCATTAAGTCTAAAAATACATGACTCTGAAGACTGAGAATAGAAAAATATATACCATCTTTTACATATTTTTATATGTTGAAATGACAGCTTAGATACTTTGTGTTAATAATTACATATGTGACTCATCTATTTCTATTGGGCAGTGCTGCATTAGATGAATCTAGTGTTTAAAACTCTATCACCTACTTTGAAAGAAATCTTTAAGCTCTGATTTGTCGACCTCATGAGGCAGATTGCCAATGAAGAGTTGGTGACTGTCAGGGTGTCGCACGATTCTTCGGGGTTCAACATCACCTTGCTCACCAGCCTCACGGACTTAAGAGAAAACAAAAGCAACAATGAAAGCCAAAGACACCTTTCAGTGACTATTACATACAAGTGTTTTCTCTTTACCCTAAATGCTGGTAATTTCAACTCTCAGGTAATTTTTTAATCTAAGAAAATATTGAGCAATGCCCTCCCCCAAAGAAAAACAAAGTACCCACTTCAGAATCCCCCAAACTAGAAAAGTCATCCTTCTGAGCTCTTACTTGGTCTAGGTCCCCTCTGGGGAGGAATATTTATCCGTTGTTCTCGAACTCTTTGATCCCTCTGAGGCCGCTGCGGTGGAATCTGAGATTCAGGCTTAGACTCTGGGCGAGGCTGAAACATTTCTAAGTTAACTTTTGTGTAAATACAAAGCAAGTTTACTTTTTTCTTGTGAAGTTTCTTAGCTAACAATAAGGTTTAAACTAGAATATAACACACAAATTCTCTCTCACACACAAAAATCATTAAAAACTATCTTTTACCCTTCTCCTCTGGTCTTATAACATCAGTTTCCACATTCTCTAAAGCGCTATGAGACCACAGTACACAAAATAAAAATAAATTTGCCTTAATATGCAAGCTGAATGAGAAACTCACCTGTGAAGCTGGTACTTTAACAACGTGAGGTGGTATCCCAGTAACTGGAACAGCTCCACTGGGTGGAAGGTTCTTACTGGTCACAGATGCCCAGGAAAATGTCTAAGGTAACAAACATCAATACCAGCTGATTATACTATGTATTAAAACAATATAAAAGCCATTAGTTCTTGATTTCTTGTACATAATATATGCATCACATTTTCATAGGCAGAGTAGTTTATAAGTATCTTGAGATTACCCCCCACACTCCCATTTACAAATTTAGTACTAAAATTTCTTAGAAATGCTATGATATAAACATTGATCCAATGTTATCAACTTTAGAGTTAT